AACAGGCCTGGCAAGCATACTACTTATCTTTGGGATATTTAGGCGACAGGGCTCCCTTAGCTAAATTCTACTTAATGTGATTTAATGTCTCCTAAGCAAATCTATCAGTACATCCTTTACAACAATTCTATTATTTCAAGTTTCTTCTACTTCAAAACCATGAAGGAAAATGAAGGGAGAGAGAGAAGAAAGGAAAGAGGAAGAGAGAAAAGCAGGCAAGAAAGAAGGGCACCACTCTCTCCATGCTCTCTGTGGCATTCAGGATGCCTGTTGTATAATAGCCTTCCCCTTGTACACCAAGAATGAAACACAGTGGCAGTATTGCAAGAGGGCCATGAGCATACTGACCTTTCAGGCATACTGGTGCACAGTAGCTGGGAGCAGGGGTAGGTACAGGGGTGTGATGGGGCTTGCAAAGCTCGAAGTTTGTTTTCAAGGAAGCTTTAGAAGGCGGTGAGAGCCTGAGGCAAGTGTATCTCAGCCCTCTTCCAGTTCTTGTTTCCCATAGCTTTGGAAATAGGCACTGAACATCCATGGTCTGCTCTCCTGTTCCAGGAATCTGACTACCTAGCCCCAGGGACCTCCATCTTGGCAACTACAGGGTGCTCCCAGTGGCCCCACCCTTCACCATTCCTCTTGCATCATCAGTTTTATAATTCACTTTTGGAGATGCTGGGGGGGGGTTAAAGCAGGAATTCCTCCATATGAAGCATGTGCTCTATCAGTGATACCATTTCAAAATAGAGTTAAAAGTCAAGGGGAAAGATTTACAGTGAGTCAGTGGGGCAAAATAACTTCTGGGGGGTGGCAAGTGAGAAGAGACAGACATACTAGAGAAAGGCATTTGTTTTAAGGGTAAAAGAAAGGATGGGGGCTGAAGCCTTGGAGCAGCTGGCATACAGAAAAAAGGCTTAACTAACCAATAATTTGAAAGAAAATGACCTTGTAAAAAGCTCAGAAAAGTATGGCCTCAGAACAATAATGAACCACTTTAGACAAAGTTGATTCCCGGAAGGAACTGCCTTGCTTATGTTCTATCAAAAGCTGGTGGTGATACACAGGGAAACTGTCTGGAAAATCACAAAAGAGGAGAACAAGGGACTAAAAGAAAATTTTCTGAAATCAAAAGAAATAGAGTCCATTTTCTGTGCTGAAAGGTGCCTGCTCGAGGACTTCTGGGAGCCTTAGGGATGGGAGAGTCTTTTTGGTAAGGAGAGGTGACTGAGAGGAAGAGAAAGGAAGACAATTAAAGGGGAGACTGGGTGGAATGGGGCAAGCAGTTCATCCAAGGTTCAGTAACAGCTCAATGTTTACAGTCCAACTTGACACACATAGAAAGAACTACCTTTCGTTTGAACTGTGATTGCTTTAAAAAAAAAAAAGCTTCCCCACCTGCCCAACATGCCAGGTGAAAAAAATGAAAAGAGGACTCATGGGTAGGAACACACTCAGTTAAAAAAGCCCCCATCACATGATGATGGCGTCTGATGGAAACAAGAGTATTTTTAGACTTGGTAAAGAACTCAACATAAGCAAGCTCTTGGGTGTTTGGATGCAGAGCCTCTTTGAACATTTGAGTCTAGTTTTGGTTTTCTTTCCTCTCAATGGGACGGTTTAAAGCTGAAAAGGAAATCTGCTCTGCACCTGCACTAATACCTGTGCCCATTTGCACCAACAATTGGCACAGCAGCTCTAAAGCAGATGAGAAACTGAGGCACAGGAAAGCAAGCTAGCCTGCCATGGGCTATATAACAAGTCCCACATATTATGTCCCCTTCCAATTTATTTTTATGTGTATGTGAGTGTATCTTTGTGTATATCCATGGACCCATACATGTGGGTGCTCAAGGAGGTCAAAAGAGAGCCTTAGATGCTCATGGGTGCTGGGTCCTCCAGGCCCTCCCCTTGCAACTTACGAAAGAAACAAAATACTGCAACAAATGTTTCTGTGCCTGCCATAAGTACCACATTCCAATTCTCTGTCCCTCTAGTGGGTGCCAGAAGAGGACGTCATGTCTCCCAGAACTGGAGTTATATGCAGTTGTGAACTGCCTATGTGGACGCTGGAGTCAAACCAAGGTCTTCTGGAAGAGCAGCCAGTGCTCGTAACTGCTGGGCCCCCAAGTATATTTTAATCTGTTGCCGGTCTAGGTTTTGTTAACAGGAAAAGGAGGAACACCCCTCAACCAAGTGATAATACATTTTATATTACTTGACACAGATAATTATCCTAAGTATTAGTACATTTTGTACCTAGCTGACCCCAGACTGGATGATTGATAATGAACAGAGATTTTGTACACAGTTGCTGAGGCTGAGAAAGTCAAGATCAAGGGGCCGCATTTGTCAAGGAGCTTATGGCTCTGTCATAACACGACAATAGGCGTTGTCTAACTAGAAAGCAAGAGAGGGCGGAACTTGATTTTATAGCAAACCTATTCCCTTCATAAGAATTCACTCCTAAAGTAGTGTGAATTCATCCATGTTACTCAACCTAAGGACTCATAAAGGTGCTACCCCTGACCCTGGGATTGTTTCTCACACATGAACTTTGGGGACACGCTCCCACGATTGCTATACATAAATAACCCACTCAGATTTCCTATAATGCTATGGGGCTATTCAAAGCGAAGTTAAGTAACTGTTCAGACTCATACCATTCCCAAGAGATGAAGGCTGGCTTGAAGGCAGGCTGCCTGGTCTTTTAGTCACACACCTGATGGTACAAGGTACCCCGAGGAGCTGTGTAAACCTGCCCAGGAAGGTACAGCCACAGCTGAACTGATGAAGCCTCTCACAAAATGTCTCTAGATCTATCTCAGCGCCACCCCCCACTTTTCTAACTTTCATCAGCATGGCTGTACAGACACACACTTATTTGCAGCAATTTCAGCTTTAGTGAAACCAGAATAGGGAGCATTTTTTCTGAGATCTGTTTTCAATGTTGTGAAGTCAGCTCTATTCTTTGCCACTAATTATATTAACTATTTTTAGGGCAAACTGTCAATGCACCATACTTATTCATGCTTCCTACATTTCCAATTTGTTTTCTTTAACCATATCTATTTATATCTTAAGTGCTTTTTAGAGAGATGCCCTCATTCTGCCTATGTTAAATTTGGGACTTGTAATTAAGTTATAAAACACATGGGGGTGACATGATATGAGGGTATTACTGGTGGCTACTAGATTGCCTTTTGAGTTCTGGATAAAAACATTAACACTTTGAATAAAAAAGTTACACATTAGGGAGAACCTACGATCACCTACCTGTAGATTTTAGATCACAGATTTGGTGTCAAGAAAGCTCTGTGACTTTGTGATCCTAGGGCTGCTATTACAGCCCTCGTTTAACTTCAGTTTCCTTCTCTATGAAATGAAAAACTTTCTCAGTGGATTAAATGAGGGTTTTAATTGTTTCTTGTCACTTTCATTCTACAATAGTAGTGACACTTGCTATTTGCTAACACTGCTACTTTACCATAATTTCTCCCAGATATCTCCATACGTGCCTAATCTCTTCTGGCACACTTGGTCCAATTTCAATAGGCCATTCCATTCTCCATTCTCCCCCAAGACTCACGAATTTTCCCCTTAGGTGGAGAGGTACTGAGTTAGAAGAAAACCCTACAGTTTCCTGCAGTGAGAAACATTTTTCTATCAAAGACACTTAGTCCCACAAGGACTTGTGTTGGGTGACTAGCTCATCGTGTTATATTGTGTGTGGTTCCACCAATGGGATGAAATGCAGTCACCATCTAAGTCAGAGGTAAAGGCAGTGGGCATTTTGTTGAGTATTTTTGTCTTGGTTTGGGTTCCAGTGCACTCACTTTTCAAAAGGAAATCACTTTGCCCAGTTTCACTCTGTCTCTGTGTTCCTTTATGCAACACTTCAATAATTGTTTTCCAAACACTCCTCCACTTCCTCTGTTTGGGACACTCTCTGCAGCTCAGAAGAAAACAATTCTGAGACCCATGCCTAAAACCCTCAAAATATCTCCAATATTCCATTTCTGGAAGATCTGGCTCCATATGCCCTTCCCAAGGCAGCTGAAGTCAGCAACACCCTGTTCACTTGGGATTGGCCACTGTGAACTTTGCATTCCTGCTCCTTTTTTCATGAATCATTTTCTTTATGTGCATTGGTGTTTGCCTGCATGTATGTGTATTTGTGTGAGGGTGTCAGACCCGATGGAACAGGAGTTTCAGGCAGGTGTGAGCTGCCTTGTGAGTGCTGGGAATCAAACCAGGGTCTTCTGGAAGAGCACTGAGCACTCACTGAGACATCTCTCCAGACCCTCCCTGTTCCTTTTTGCTTCTAGCATGTGAGCCTTTTGCCTCTCTTTACTGACATGGGGGTTGACCAAGGACTCTCCCAGGCGACAGCTTTCCTAATTTCTGTCTTTTGTTAGTCAAGATCAGGATTTAGGCCATCCTTGTCCAGAAATTTATAACACAGCTTCCATATCATGTTTTCCTTGGGAAAACATAATATGTATCAGAAGTCCTGCGCTTTTGTCCCAAGATCCTAGAGTCTTATACACATATGTTTATGGCACCTGCTAGATGCGGACTAAATGTTTGAAGAACCGTTAATTTTTCCCTCGGCAGTCATATGGAACCTCGACAGACAACGTGTTTGTATGGTGTGTTTTGCTGTCGCCAGTCAGGGGACCTCCTGGAGGCTGGCATGACACAAAGAAACGTAGGTCCTTGTCATCAGGATGCTCGCTGCCTCAGAGCCCCATTGTCACACGGCGCTCACCGGCGTCATCCGTTCTTCCTGTCAGTCCCGGGGAGAAGGGTTCTTGCTGGTGTTTTGACCCTTCTCTGTCAAGCGAACTGGAAAAAAGATGACTGAAATAGGCCCCCTACTCCTGACTACTTAATTTAGCGGTCCAGACACCTGTCGCCTAGCAACACTTGCCCGCCTACGCCCAGGGCGCAGGCTCAGAGTCTTTCCCCACCCGGCCTCCCGGGCGCGCAGCTGTGACGTAAGTATTCCGCGACTCTCGGCAGTCACCGCACGCCTGGTACCATGGCTTCCTCTGGGGTGGCGGGTGGGAGACAAGCCGAAGATACACTGCAGCCACCGCCCGAACTGCTGCCGGAGTCCAAGCCGCCGCCTCCGCCTCAGCCTCTACCGGTCGCCGCGCTCCCGCCGCCGCCAGCTGCCCGCCCTCAGTCCCCCGCAGGCGTGAAGGAGGAGAATTACTCCTTTTTGCCGTTGGTTCACAATGTCATCAAATGGTAAGGGCCTAGGAGAGGTCAAGACACCAACTTGCTGGTTCGGTCCGAGCAGCCAAAGCCTGTGCGCCCCGGGCCACGCCCCATTTTCCCACAGTCGCCGCACAGTCGCCTTGTGAGTTCAGCAACCTCCCAGGCCTTGAGAGTTAAACACTGTGCATCCAGGTGAAACTCACACACTGAGCAAATTCACAGGCTCTGCGGTGCACTCCCCTTGTTCGTATCCCAGATCCCTCAGCGTCTTTGGAATGGGTCTCAAGCCCTTACACATATAGTCTGAAGGCAAGTTTTGTTTTGTTTTGTTTTTCGAGACAAGGTTTCTCTGTAGCTTTGCAGGTTGTCCTGGAACTGAACTCAGACCAGGCTGGCCTTGAACTCACAGAGATCCACCTGCCTCTGCCTCCCGAGTGCTGGGAGTAAAGGCATGTGCCACCACCACCCGGTTGAAGGCAATTTTTTATTTTTTGTCGAGACAGTATTTCTCTGTGTAATAGCCCTGGCTGTCCTGGACCTTGCCTTGTAGATCAGGCTGGCCTTAGAACTCAGAGATCGCCTGATTCTGCCTCCCGAGTGCTGGAATTAAAGGTGTGTGGCACCCCACCCGGCTACCTGAAGGCAGCTTTATACAATAATTTTAATTTGCCTGCGTTTTGACTGTTCATATGAATCCTAGTGTGGGATTTTCCATTTGTAGCATTATGTGAGCCCCTTAAAAGTTTTCGAATATTGTTAGATTTTAGATGCTCAGATGCAAGATTCTCACCTAGAACACAGTTCCCGTTTCAGTACTAGGCATCTTTACTTGTGTGGCACTGTTAAGTGCTGTGGATGAACACTGGAAAGGAACCATCGATTCACCGTCACAGGGCTTACCAGTTAGAAGCAGAGAAAACCAAAGATAATCGTCTATGATTTTTACAACCGGAGAGGGGTGGGGTGATGCTAGCAAACATTGAAACAAAGACACGGAAGTTGTTCCAAATGACTATGTCTCAGTATTAACTTTAACAGACCCAAAGTCTCCAGTCTCCAATCTGGCTTACATTTTTTTTTGTTATCTCCATATACAGTTGTGTCGCTTCTAAGAGGTGACTGTTGTGCAAGCATTCTCATCTCAAGTGTGCACTGATAAACTTAGGTGGTGCAGGACAGTTACTCCCTGGGGCCTCATGGTGCTGTCGGGATTCTTGCTAACAGCAAGAGAGAGTTGGATGGCTTGGTGGGTGAGACTACTTGCTGTGCAAGCAAGAGGACCTGAGCCTGAATCCCCAGCATCCACATAAAAAGCCACTCCACTCATGGCTGCTCATACTTGTAGCCCAGCATTTCAGGGTAGAGGCAAACAGATCTTGAGAACTCTGGCCAACCAGCCTGGTAGAAACTGAACTTCATTCATCATGAGACCCTGTCTCAACGGGATAAGGTGAAGAGCAACAGAAAAAGACAACCGCCTTAGCATACCTGCCTGCACCCTCAACAGGCATTCACAGATCTGAATAGCAGCCCCAACACACATACAAGGCATGCCACACATACATAATAAACAGAAAAGAGTCTTGGTAGCATGGGATGTATGGAAGTTGCTGCTGGTGTATTAAGACATTCTGTTAAAGGGAGATTTTAATTAAACGTGTGTTTGTTTGAGAACAGGGTTTTTGCTACAAAGCCCATACTGCCTTTGACCTTTTGATCCTCTTATCTCAGCTTCCTGAGTACTGGGGCTACAGGTGTGTACCATTACACCTAGCAACTGTGAATCTCTTAGTAGGAAGGAGTATGCTTTAAAATCACAGTAAAAAGTTCAGCATAGTAAATGCATAAACTAGTGACATCATTATTTATATCCTTATCAAGCATTAGGCACTACCTGTAATTGTATATGCTATACTTTTATATATCTGACAATATTTTTTTCACAATAGTGTGAGTGATGCATTCTGTTGCAGTGTTACCACAGCTAATGTGTCACTAGGCAAAGGAAGGTTTTGGTTACATTATAACCATTAGACTATTACTGTATATATGATATGGCATTGACCAGGTTATTCAGTGCTAACTGTATAGCCATAGGACACGAGGTGCAAACCCCTGAACTTGTAACTTCTGCTTAACCATCAAATACTAAAAATAAATTAAGACAAGATTACAATTCTTCTGCATCAGCTCCTGCCTCTAGGTTTCTGCTCTGACTTTCTCCAGGTGATAAACAATGACATGGAAGTGTAAGCCATACACTTCATAATCTGCATTTGGTCATTGTGTTTCATCACAGCAATAGTAACCCTAATTAAGGCAAGCACCAAGCCACCATACAGAAAGGGACCTAGGCTGCCTCAACTCCAATGAAGATGGCTATTAAGATTTTTTTTAAACCAAATGACAATTCCATATCAGCAAAACATCAAAGGGCATGCCAATGTTCATAAACATGGCTGGAATTGTAATTTTGGGAGGGGGGGTTCAAGACAGTGTTTCTCTGCGGCTTTGGAGGCTGATCTGCCTGCCTCTGCCTCCCGAGTGCTGGGATTAAAGGCGTGAGCCACCACCGCCCAGCTCAGAACTAGCTCTTATAGACCAGGCTGGTCTCAAACTCAGAGATCGACCTGCCTTTGCCTCACGAGTACTGGGATTAATGGTGTGGGCTACCACGCCTGGTTTCAGTGTGCTTTCTTACTAGAACCCAGGACCATCATCCTAGGGGTAGCTCATCCACAGTGAGCTGGACCTTCCCTATGAATCACAAATTAAGAAAATGCTCTATAGGCTTGCCTTCAGCCTGATCTTGTGGAAGTATTTTCTCAGTTGAGACTCCTTCCTCTGGTGACTCTAGCTTGTGTCAAGTTGGCATAAAACTAGCCAGCACAGTGCTCATCTGAAACTTTTCAAATGATTGCAAAGCTTTGGTTCTCATGTTAGACTCCTGGCTTCAAACAATGTGAACATCCTGTATGTAGTGTAAGACAGACTGTCCCCTTTGTGTTAACTTTTGGCAAACATATTAGTAAGACAGAAAAAAGGAAGGCAAACAAACAACAACAAAAAACCCTCACCATCTCAGGGCAATCCAGAGCGTTGGGTTATCTAGAGTAACCCAGACATACATGGAAAAATTAAAACACAAATAGGTACACATTCATCAACACTGTAGAGTGGATGCTTCCAAGCCAGCAGAGTACTTTGGTTGGGCCAGCCTTAGTGACAGGAAGTGCTATGTAGCAAGAGCATGCTATGAAGTCAGAGGGTGTGAGTTCAAGACTTTGTGCTGAGGCTTGCCTTATCGTCTTTGTAAATACTTAACCTTCCCAGGCTGTAATTTTCCTGTCTTTGTAGATCTGAATGCTGGGCATCAGGAGACCAAGGCTGATCTCTGAGTTTGAGACCAACCTAATTTACATGTCTTGTTCCAGGCCATCCAGGAACAATGGGTTCAAATTGTAGCTCATGAGTTGTGGCTAGGTAGCCTTGGGCAGGTAATTCCGTTTCTTATAGAACTGGGAGAACTCTAAGGTGCATACCTATGAAAAGTGACAGGTTGATCACACGGGCTTGTCCAAAAGGACACACAAGGAATTTTCTATTTCTATTTAATTATTTAGCATAAGAACAGGAAGGACAAGCAATAATTACCAGAAAACAGCTGGCAAGGGCTAACTCACCTACTGACTTGAAACAGCTGCCTTGACCATGCCCTTCCCTATACCTCAGAGCCTGGCGGTGATAGAACGGTATAGGTAGCCTTCCCCACACCTCTGTAAGCAGTGTGAAAGAAGGTGGTCTAAGAATGGGAGACGTCTAAGAGGGACGCACCCACAGTCTTGACCCACTCCTGCCTGAAGCAGCCAGATGATACCCTTCCAGCTGCAGACAACGAAAACATTGCTCTGCCTAAGGTTGATCCTTTAGAAGGAATAAGCCAGAGTCAGTGTGGGACGCATAGCATATTTCGGGGCTGGGAAGGGAAATCAGCTGAAAACGAGTTGTGAGCCCCTTGCTCACCCCAGAGAGTGTCTGACCAACCAAAGGGAAAAGACCCTGGGGAGCAAAGGCTTCTTCAAGAAAAGCCAGTTCCATTCATCCTACAGATGAAATGTTATTCCTACTCAGAGCCTTTGGCACTTGTAAGTATGTGACTGCTAGCACTGGCCACTAGACATGTAAAAGAAACTGCAGGGGCCCACCAAGATGAGGTGGTGCATGCCTTTATTTCAAGTACTTGGGAGGCAGGGGCAGGTGGATCTCTGAGTTTGTGACCAGCCTGGTCTCCAGAGCAAGTTTCAGGATAGCCAGCTCTGTTACACAGAGAAATCCTGTCTCGAAGGGACAAAAAGGAAGGAAGAAAGAAGATAGGCCGGAGAGAAAACAGTATGCTCAGAGAGGTCGGCTGGTACTATCTTCATGAAAAAGGGCAGGTCCAGTTTGAAAGCTCTGGGGTGTTGTGTGAGTTTGTAGGCTAGTGAAGGGGAAAGATTCAGACTATGGCAAAGGCAGGGGAAGGAAGGGATTTAGGAAGCCTGAAGCTCATAGTGGGTGATGCCACTTGTGAGGCTGATATCACAAGGGGGAAGAAGGGAGGGTAAACAACTGGGTAAGGAAGAAAAGCTGTGCACTTGTGACTCCTGAGGTCACTGCTCAGTGTGATGTGTTCAGCACAATCTAAGGAAGGAGAGAGATTGTAGAGGAGCCAGGAAATTGAAGGCAGCATTTCCTTTGAAGGGTAATCATTTGTTCTTGGAGGACTAAGCTGCCTGCAAATCTTACAGGTCAGGAGTCAGGGGGATGGGGACCAGCAGCAAGTCTAGTAGTCCAGGGTGGCTCTGCCAGGCTCTGATGCCTTGTTCTGTGCTTCCCTCAACAGTCCTTAAGCTAATGTGTCCTCCTGGAATTAGTAAGGACAGAAAGTTTGAAATAGAGGACTTAACCTTGTTCTCCTAAAAAGCTCATCATTAATTACATCATAAGGGGGTTTACTTCACAAAAGAAACAGTTGCCAAGTACAAGTTGTG